TAGGAAAAATTTTGCACAGTCTTGAAGAAGGTAAAGATTTCTTAGGACACAAAAAGCACAAATCATAACAGAAAAAAATTTAATTAGACTACACCAAACTTTTAAAATTATGCTTTCCACAAGTTATTAATGAATAGCACACAACAGGGTTACAAAAATATATATTTATGTAAAAATATATGTATGTAATATATATATGATTAAGATTTTTACCAAGAGAATGCTTACAACTCAGTAAGAGGAAAACACCTCAGTTTTTTTTTTAAATGGAAGAAGGTCATGAGCAGATATTCAAAAAAGGTATCTGAACAATAAATAAGCACATGAAAAGATTCTCATCATCACAAACATCATTATTTATCAAAAAAAAAAGATGATCAAATTAAAACCTTAATGAGATGCCACTAACATGGAAAAAATGACTAAAAAGAGACTTAAAATAACAAATGTCAGGGAAGATATGAAGTTAATTGGATTCTCATGGATGGCTGGTAGGAACACAAAATAGTATAACCATTTGAAAAGATGTTGGTCTTGTTTTAAAAAGCAGTACCAGCCAAGAGAAATGAAAGCATACATCCATACAGATACTTATATGCCAATTCTATTCATAACGGTAACTTGAAATAACCTAAAATGTGATATATGCTCTTGTGTTAAGAGAATAATACTTGTGGGGTGGGGGGAGATTACTGATGCTCACAGTATCATGGATGTATTTCAAAAGCAATATGCTCAGGCACAGAAGGCAATCAGAGAAGAGGTTCCACTATATAAGTCTACTTAAATGCAAGTACAGAAAAGATAAATCTAATCTATAATGAGAGACCAGGAAAAGGAGGTAGAGAGTGGAGATCAACTATAAAAAGGAATGGGGACTTTTTCAGGTAATGAAAATGTTGACACCTTAGTTGTGGTGGTGATTATCTACATTTGTCAGATTCAAAGAACATTACACATATTAAATGCATTTTTGTGGTATGTAAGTAAAGTAAACCTAAATATATTTTACAGTGTTTTTATGGAAAAGAAAACACCTCAGAAATGGAATATTTTGTACTGATTTTATAAGACTTTCATTTAAACCAATACTAAAAACAGATACTAAAGTTTCAAAAACCTAAGTTTATGTTAATTATTGGCTATGATGAAACCACAGTACTGATCAAGAATTTAAAGACACATAGGCATTTACAGAAGTAGAGAGACTTGGATTAAAGAAAACAGTTGCAAGAGCTTCCAAACAAAGATAATCTAATTTATCATTCTACCCTGTAGTCTTGTCACAGTTCTCCATTTTTCTTTTAAAGATTTGTTTATTTATGCATACAGAACTGGGGTATAGGCCAGAGGTGCAGGTTGGTAAGAGGATTCACCAGAGACAGAGTGGGGAACAGAACAGACACATCAATGAAGTACACTGCTGAGGGGAGCAGCAGGTGGGTCAGGAGAGGTCTGCTGTGCCATGTGAGTCACCTCCAGTGGGGCGGGGATCGAACTCATGCTGAAGTGGCTTGAGATTCTTAGCGCTGTGCTTTAACCTGCTGCGCCACCAGGGAGGGCTCTCACTACAACTTTTTAATACATCATTAAAGTCTCTCCAAATCATAGTTATGGTTCACACAATCGCAGTTAATGAATGATTTCAGTCACATCTAAAACATGTTAGGACCTAAACTGCTTTTGTGGAAAAAAAAAGAAATATATACAATAATAAAGAGAGTAGCATAATGACGTCTCATTCACACATCAAGATGGTGCTATTCTTGCATTCTCCTTCTTGTAAAAACATTTCAAAAGTTCTGTCACATCAGCCCCACAAATTTAAAAATGTATCTCTAAAAATATGAGTTTTGTAAGATCTTTTTTAAGATTATCTTTGTACAGTACAAAGACATTAGATACCTTTCTCAATCAAGGTACTAGATACCTGATTGTATTCTTGCCACCCCTCTTCAACATCACAATTTTTATAACTTCTAAGACCTATGACGACTACTTAATAAATTTAAAAATCATCCTAAGGGGCCCTCCTGGTGGCACAGCGGGTTAAAGCACTGCACTGAGAAGCTAAAGCCACTTCCGCATGAGTTCAATCCCCGACCTCCTGGAGGTGACTCACATGGCGCGGCAGACTCTTCTGACCCAACTGCTGCTCCCCTCAGCAGTGTAATTCGTCAGTGGGCTTGTGCTGTTCCCCACTCTGTCTCTGGTAAAGCCTCTCACTGCCCCTGCACCTCTGGCCTGTACCCCAGCTCTGTATGCACAAATAAATAAATCTTTAAAAAAAATTATTCTAAGAACATTCTTTTCTATAAACATTCATTAAGTGTATTTGCTCATAGCCTGTGTTAAAATTAGATATGTCATTTAAGTATAGAATAAACCTCAATTTTTCATTATATAAGAAAACAAATTTATTATTTTCACAGTCATGGAGAAAATAAAAATGGTCACTAATTTCCCACAGAAAAAAAAAAGTTATCCCATGTCTGCTTAAAACATAAATTAAAATTATATCCTGACATAAGTAAACATCAAGTATAAAACCATATGCTACACAATTTAAAGAGCGACAGAAACTATTTAAGTGAGTGACTCAGTTGGGGCAGTTTTCAGTAAATCATGGTAATAAATATCCTAAACCAAAGTAAATCTGAAGATATCAGATCCCTTAAGATCCATTCCACTAAACAATAAGAGTTACAAAAATTTATTATGGGGCCTCCCTGGTGGCCTAGGGGTTAAGTCAGCGCTATCACCACAAAGGCTTTTGTTGATCCCCAGCCAGGCAGCTGACCCGCATAGTACAGCAGATCTATCTGTCCTACCACTGCTCCCCTAAGCAGTATATTTCAGTAGATCTGCCTGTTCTGCTCCCCACGCTCTCTCTGGTGAATCCTCTTAGCACCTCCACCCCCACCTCTGAGACTACTCCACAGTTCTACAAAAAGAAAGAAATAAAGAAGGAAGGAAGGAGAGAGAGAAAAAGGCCCTGTGCTTACCCCTTCTTATGAATGAATGAAGGAATGAATGAATAAATAAATAAAATTTTTTATACATTATCTGGAAAGTATATTTGAGGATATTTACCATGGCTATTACTTTGTTTCCCAAAAAATAGTGATTACTATACTAATGATGGCACAGGTTTTGCCAGGGTTGCCTTGCTATGCCCCTCAAAGATAAACCCTAACATCTGAAAAGGAAGTAAAGGGATATTGATCCCTGAAGTGATTTTCCTTGACCAAATGGTAATTTGACATACTGAAGAAGATTGTATGTTAAAGACATCCTGCCTAGTTGTCTAGAGGAAAGGGGATGGGAATATAGGGACATAGTAATCACAAGACATGAAAAGAATGCTAAGAGTTTTAATCTGTCACATAACATTTTAGAAGGAACAATTTCTTTTGGATATAAAGATTTTGTGGATTTTGCCCACAAGTTTTAATACTCATAATATCAAACAAGAATTAGCTCTGAAATAAAGTTACTTCAAGGCACATAAATCTTAAGAGGTATATTTTACTTCTCTTTTCCAATCATTCTACACACAATGCAAACCATTCATCTCAGGCAAAATCAAAGGAATTACCCAGAAGGGCAACTAAAAAATTTTAGGAAGCCTGAGAATAGCTCAGTTAGAATCTTAATAAAAGACACAGAAAGAGATAAACCCTCATGTTGGTTACTTAAGTATATTCAATATGGGACATAGAATGCGTATGTTGACATTAACTTGTGACTGCATGAGGTAATAGTGCTCTCATACACACATTATTCATCCGTTGTATGTTACTTGTCCTAACCTTTCAATTTAATTGAATCCAACAGAGCCTATTAAATTCCGTCTGGTTTCATAAGATTATGACAGTCATTAATGAGCCAGATTTTTAAGTGTGTTGAAGATAAACTGCCTGGGTAAGAGGGGTTTTCCCTTTTGTTCCCCTGCTGTTTATTGCAATGGAAACAATATCAACATTTTAAAGACTTCATTAAAAGTGTAATACTGATTTCTCCATGTCTGAGTCAAGTTTGAAATTTGCTGGATACTCAAATATAACATAAATCCATACCGATTTGATAAAACTTAAATTGCAATTTTTAAAATAATGTAAAGTAATGTAACAGATTGACCCAATTTTATTCTCCATTTTGAAGGAAAAGAACCTGAACTACAGATTTACCTCAGGAATTGCATCTGATGCAAGTGAATAATAAACATTTTTATTTGGCCATCTCCCGCATCTAGGGCTCTTCCCAAAAAGCAGATTATAAAATTTATATTATACAATGGTAGGGGTTCTTGCAAATAAGCTACTCATTTTAGTTCCAAAAGTTTGATTATCCTTTTATAGTTTTCAAATTTTTCCTTCACAGGAAGAAGCTTTTATATTTACTATTGTTTGAAGTAAAGAAAGGGTTTTATTGCTTTTAAAGGGTGGGAAGCATAAATTTTGGCCAAGATTTATCTTTAAAATTTTTAAAACTCCAGAATCTTCTACAAGTAGTGAAGAAGATATCTCACTAGTTTTGTACATCAATGTTTCATTTTTTTCCTGGTGACTTACTAGTACATCTGAAAATAAACAGATAAATAGCAATTATTGTGCAAACTGTATTCATTGGGTCAATGGTAATTTTAATATAAATACATACTATCACTTGAGAAAATAACAAATCATTTAAAAATTTTGATTTTGAAGAACTGGGTATTGAGTAGACCATGCTATGGCTAAATTATTTCAAATGTATATAACAAAATTTAAGGTGGCGCATTCACCACTCTAAGGATACTAGTCATTGAAATCAGATTATTTAACCACTCTCTGGTTTGTAAGATGAGTTATCCCAATACCCAAAATGATAACATTTTCTATTGAGTTCAGACAAAAAGGCAGTAACATATGGTTGAGAACAGGCGTTCCACACAGTAGTTATGAGTTGTTCAAAAGTGGGGTTCTAAAATTTATTTTGATTTTCTTAAACTCACTCACTTGTGACCAATCTCATGTGCAATGGTAAAAGCTGAACCCAGGCCAATGTCTTCATTAATGCTGCAGCTCCTTTCAGGCTCACACATTCCAGCCACAGAGGCCAAGCCTGAATAAACAGAAGGAGACACAAAGGGTCAAGCCAAGGTGTTTCAGTCTTAAAAAGCCCATACTTATAAATGCCTGGATTCTTTTTAATAACCTCCATGCACAGAAGGAGCAGTTGGCAAAAGGTTAACTTTCTAGTCATTTGCAAAATCACTGGGGGGAGTTTCACTTTGCGGGCTAGACATTAATATTTTTTGAACTGCAGTCAGTGCTGGAAAATGTCTAGACTAGGGGTTAGATTTATAAATTTTACTTCTGGTAACTTGGGACCACCTAGTAACTTGAGCCAGAAGAGGGAATTCAAGAAAGCATTTCTATTTTAACATTCTTCAGGCTGTAGAAAGCAAAATATATCCACATTATTTTTCTAAAGAGATCTGTTTAAGTTTAGTGGGTTCATAAAAATATACAAGCAACTTTTTAGTTACAAAAAAAAAAGGGGGGGGGAATCCCAAATGGTTTTTTTAATGACATTTTTGTAAAAACAAAAATGAATGATTCAAAAGAAAAAAAGGAGAACTGCTAAAGATGGGAGGTTTTTGTATTTTTAAATCTTCTCCAAGTAGTCCTCATAGTGATGCAACAATTTCTTTAGGGAGTAAAGTCATTCACACATACAGTATAGTCCACCACTCTCCCATCCCCTTCAATGCATCAGTTTTACTAATAAAGTAAAAACTCCGGTGTTAATTCGCTGACTCTTGTGAAATGTTATGTTATTCAAGGTATTCTTCTCCTGAGAATTTAGTAAGTAAAAACTTCAGTATTTAATTCCAAATGAATATCATGCTCTGCGAATTAGTACTTAATTTTAAAACTGTCCTTAGGAAAAAGTATTTTTGTGTGAAAGATAAAATGTCATTCTCTGTATGAAAATGTTGCCAAATATACTTAACACATTTAGGAATGAAACTTATTTTTGAAAAATTTAAGTGAAAATAGGAAAAAACATTTTATATGGTAATAATCTATTACTGTCATCCAAATATTAATTGCCGTCTCAACCAAATGTGATTTCAATCCAATTCAATGAATATTTATTGAGTGTAATAAACAATGTTCTGTGCTGGGTACAATTTCCTACTTGCACTAATTTGGAACAGTAAAAGCTACTCCATTCATATTTTTTATTAACAAGAAAGTTCTAGAAATTGTGTTTCTCTGTGTCTTCTATTAAAATATCAACATAATGCCCACACTGGGACAGAGTTCAGGAGGGCTAGGTATGCTAAAAGATCACTTAATTTTCCTACTATTTTTTGTGAAAGGGGCAAGAGTTGGAGAAGGGATTGATTTCTGCCTCTCAGAGTTATAAACACTAGTTATAAACCTATGCTTTCAGTCATGTAGAAGTCTTGTGTCCTGAAGAAGAGGAGGTTAACGGAAGGACAAGTTGGGGCAACATGATTTTTCTGGCTAATCAATGTTACTTTCATATACCAATGACAAAGAGACAGAGAATACCCCCCCAAAAAAGAAAATTGCATTACTTAACCTAACTTTAAGTTACTTGGTTCAATATGGTCCATGACATGCAAAGAACAAAGTCACTCTCTGAATATTGTTCCTATTTTGAGCTTCATAAAATTTGATTTAAAGAAATTTACTAAGAATAATCATTGTTAAATTAATATTTCTTAAGTTTCCCAAAATACATTATTCCATAGGGTACATTTTTGTTTGTTGTTATTTTTTATTATGTGCCACATGGCTGTATTTTTATTTCAGAATGTTCAAATATAGATTTATCTATGCGACAGGATACAAAATTATTAACTCTATTAAAAGAACTGAAGAAGGAACAGAGTTGGAAAATAACACTACTTACTGAAATGATAAAGGTAAATCTTAATCAAAATGAATTATTAGTATCTTCAAATCCTAATGTATTTTTATACTCCGTCCCCACCATTTTCTGTATTCTTATAAGATTGAAGGTGTCAAAGTTCTTAAGTGTGATTGTGTCAATAGGGATTTGGTTACTATTTGGGTCATTTAGATTTCCTCAGTTCAATAGCAACCATTTGCACCTTTAAGTCTACCTAGCCTTATTACAATTGGATCAGACATACTAAGCAAAAGAATGTGCAATTGTCAGCACAAAACAGCATGCAAATTTCCAGGATGACAATTCAAAAATAAGAAAACCTGATCAATTCTGTCCTACTAAGATATTTTCCTAACATATAAGATACGAAGGTCAATGTGCCTGTGTGTGCATATATTTGCAGTCCAGTTCACTGTAAGAGATAGTATTGAAAATGATTTATAGTGGTTTGTAACCTGAAAGATAATTTATAATGAGCTTTAGAATTCATTGACATCTACCAAGTATGAATGTATTGATTTTTAAAATAAATAAACTATTAAAATTTAAACACATTTATTTTTAAAATATCGATAAAAGGAGAACTAGTGTAGCAAAATAAAACAAATTTCCTTTAGCAAAAGTGACAACATAAGTACTAAAGAATAGTACTACTAATGTCCTAATGAAAAACATAGTTCAGTAAGTAATCCACCCTGAAAAAGCAGGATAGGTTATTTGTACATATATTTGTGTATAGATATGTCTATACACAAATATAGTTTCTCAAAATACAAATACTTGAGAAAAATACTTGTACCTTCTTTGAAGATTACTATCATATTTAAAAATGATCAAGCTCTTACAGAATTTGAACAATAAAAGTGAGGATAATTTAAACTGTATAGTTAATTTCTACATTTCATTTTTATAGTACTTCTTTCCTAAACTGTATTTTTTCCTTACAAGATTTTCACAATATCTCTGTAGCAAGGGGGAAGATCATACTCATATTTCATGGGTAAGGAAACTGAGGAACAAAAAGCTAAAAAAAAAAAAATGTTAAATGTTATTCACTGAAACTGTCAAAACCAACTGTTAGTTTTCAAGTCAGGACTCCTTCTAATAGAGTATGTTATTCATATGAACTTAAAATACTATGGAGAAAATCTTTTAGATGTGAATGTTCTCAGCAAAGAGCTTTTTCTGCTATGCTTGTTAACTAGCAAACTTCTCCACTATAACGCAGAAGCACAGGCTAACTGGCATTTCTTCTTTAGCAATAAATTCTGAGCAGACCAGGCTAAAAGAAGCCAGAGAAGGCAGGTAAAATCAGAGAAAAAATTTAATCTCTTAAGAAATGTTTTATTTAACCCTTCCAGTAAGTTGGGAACCACCTTTTTTCCCCCTCAGAACCAATTGAGACATTTAAAAATTTATCATAGAAAAATTTCCAGTTTCTTAAAATAACTCATGTTGCTTAATAATCTAGTCTACTTGACAGCTAGAATCTTTCCCCATTAGTATTTGTAATTAACCAATATGAAGTAAGATTTGTAACAAAATAGGATTTTTTTTTTCAATTTAAAAAAATATATAATTAAGGAGTACAAGACAGATAATCCTATTACCTCCTCCACCTCTGGCTATATTATATTACATTAATTTTTTCTGCTTGTGTTTGTAGGTACCAAGACTTTCCAAAATATCGTCATTTATGGAAAAATACTCTCTTCACAAAATTGTATTGAAGGAAGTACTACTACTGTTAATGCCTCACCTTTAAGTATCCTCAAAGTTGTATTTTCTTTTCCTTTTCTAATCTGAAATTTGAAGAGCATTGTCATTTTTATTTCTCTCAAATTTCTTGTTTTTTTGTAAAATACATTACAGAATATATATTATCATTATTGTTTAGTGATTTTGAACCATCTTCTAAGCTATTTCAATCATCATCTACTTCCCAGGGGGGAGAAAAAATAAACCTACATAGTATACATGTTTCCTAGTAATGACATATCCACAAAAGGTCAGGTTTAACAATTTGTAGGAATCATTTCAGATGTGCCAGAAAGGAAAATGACCAAATTAAATAATAAAGAGTAAGGCCATTGGATCAAAAAGACAATCTGAATTATACTCCCTTTATAAAAAAATGTTTTTTGAAAACTTACCCAGTGTTCCGCAGGGCTTATTTTTGTAAGTGCAGATATCATATCTGTAGAGAGAAAAAAGAAATGAAATGTGTAATCTGATCAAATTTGTAAAATATTTTCATACATTCATCACATTTTTTTTCTTGGAGCTCTGGTTGTCAGACCACAATCATTGCAATTATGAGCAGCCAGCTGGAGTGTGGGCATTTTCAGCACTCTGGGGGACACACCGGCTGCACTAGACTCACAGCCTCTGGCTGCAAGCCAATGGGACACCTGCCAGTAAGAAAGAAAGGTTAAAGTGGATTTTTGTAATTTCAACTTCCATAAAACCATCTACTCTACTGTTTTGAAGCTAAAATAGCTTGTCTGCAGATAGCTACTGCTTCTACAAAAAGTAAATGGGTGGCTTTTTATTTCCAATCTCTTTTGAACCTGCAGGAATATATTTTTATTATAACTATAGACTACTTATATTCTGAGCTACAAGCATTATTTGCAGTTCCTTCAACTCTTCAACATGTTCTTGCATTAAAAAATAAATAAACGCCAAAAAAGAAATGGGAATAATATTGATAAAATTTTTTTCCCTATACCGCAATTTAGTGTAGCTTAAAATATGAATATCATTAAGTGATTTTAAAAATAGCCAAGCAAATAGCTCAACAGAAAGCTCTCCCAATATAGGTTGGACTAAATTTTAACGTTATACTAAATTAAAACTCCATGCAAAAGCTAGAGTGTTTAAAATAATGTTGCATATTTTTATATACATTATATCATTTTAAGTGCTAAATCAATGTTGATGGTGAACATCAAAGTATCTTCATAAGGATATCCTTATAAACTAATGCTTAAAATCAAAATGTTTCCCAAGTATCCTTTGTTTCTAAAGTGAGAATAAAAATAAATCTTAAAAGACTAAACATTTTTATTTGCTTATGTTTTATGCTAAAAGTGTAAAACTTTTCAGATAAAAAAATACAATTTCACAAACTACAAGATAACCTGAGATGTAACATTTCTCTTCTATTGTATATAAATAATGGTTAGTCAATATTAACAGCAGTGAGGGTTAGTATTTAATCCTATTCTTGCTCATCAGCTCAAAATGTAATTAAAGAACCAAATATTACAAACCATACCACTCTGCAGTTAAACTTATTAGAAGCCCTGGAAAATCTCTTTTGTCAATATCCAGAAGTCCCAACTCATCCTCTTCACTTTTACATTGAAGGGAAGGGATTTCTTCCTCTTTCACGTAACTTTCTCTTTTGACCATTAACATACATATTTCCTCTATTCTCTTGTAATTGGCAAACCACAGCTGGCAGAGTCTGGTACACTCCTGACTGTAAGTTAAAAAGAGGACCATTGTGTACCCACCAAAGAACCAGAACATATATTTGAACTGTCACAATCACTTTATCTTGTGATCATGTACAATGTCTCTGGCATTACATAGACACAACCCATATCAGCTATCTTGAAGAAAATGTAAACAAAGGCGGCCCTCCCTGGTGGCGCAGCGGGTTAAAGCATAGCACTGAGAATCTAGAGCCACTTCCGCATGAGTTCAATTCCCGCCTGCCCCGGAGGTGACCACATGGCGCGGCAGACCTCTCCTGACCCGCCCGCTGCTCCCCTCAGCAGTGTACTTCGTCGATCTGCCTGTACTGTTCCCCACTCTGTCTCTGGTGAAGCCTCTCACCACCCCTGAGCCTCTGGCCTGTACCCTAGTTCTGTATGCACAAAATAAATAAATCTTTAAAAAAAAATGTAAACAAAGGCATTCCATAGGTAATATAAATACAAATGTCTACATAGAGTCTGTCTCAAATCCACAGCTTCCACGTTACCCTTTCCTAAATATGATCTGCCTAGGAGTGCACCTGCAACCTTCCAGTTATCTATCCTTTCTTCCTTTGCCTTTTATGATTGTGCTATTTCTATGTTACAAAAAAAGAGGATAATTCTCACACATCCCACACCATGCTGTGGTGCATTGCCTGCCCCCCAAATATAAAGGTCTCCAAGAGCATAGGGCAAAAAAGACAAATCAAAAATGCATTGATCCTAGGGAATGTCCCACACAAGCCAAGCAAGAAAAATGAAGAGGTTGCTGCTTATTTCTTCACAGTAAGCCTCTGCCTTTCTGCCAATCAGTCTACATGTCTATCTCACAATTGGAATTCAGAAGTGAGATGGTTATGATGGAGTTGATTTGATCTAAAAAATGAAATCAGTCCTGCTATTGACAGATAATCATATTTAGCAGAGTATTTTGACAAAGAGAACCGATTTAGTCAATTAGAGTATATGGAGAACATTTTTCATGACTGAGTAAGCTAAACATGCAGTGTGTATACACCATGTTAGCTACTTAAATTTATGACAAAAGTAATTTAGGTATCAAGTTTAAAATGTGAAAAGTGGCACATCCTTTTTCAAAATTACTTTATTAGTAAATTAAGCATAAGCTTGAAGATCATATACAAATACAACTTGTAATTCCACCTGATAGCAGTTTCTCCTTTCATTGTTCTCACATTGCTTACATCTTTTGTTACACTAATGATGTAACAATGACTATTGTTTCCACTTGTCACAAATGCATTAACTAATAATTGACCAATTTTTTTTGACATTTACATTAACCAATAGTGGAAGCTAAAAATTCTTAGGCTACAATAATTCTATCTGTATTTTCTCCAGCTTTCCCAGATCCTCTAATATAGCTATAGAGTTCCTATAGAGGAAAGACATGTCATTTCCTAGTGACTTTTGCATTCTCTTCACACTGTATTCTTCTCTACTTTAAAGTCATAGGGAGCAAATACTATCTAGGCATTATCTTTAACACCAAATACGCTTTTATAGTTATTCTATCATACATGGATTTTCTGAGCACCTATCTTATGCCCCAGTGTAGTTCCATTACTAGAATCTAAAGATGATAAATAAATTAGTTGTGATTAACGCAGGAAAAGATACATAAGCATACAAATTACTAAATCATGTGGAAAGAAGACTGAATGAGATACTTGGAGAAAAAGCTAAATTTGTACACAACAGAACCAGTTTTTCTTAGAGCTTATAATGATGACTGTTTTTAATTCAGTTACTTATTTTTTTATTGAAGTAACACTGGAGAACCCCATCAGGTATCACCACCACACTTTACTCACCACCAATTCACCAACATCCTACCACCATAGACCATTATATTTATTTACTTTTTGGTTTTGTCCCTCTCCTACCCCTTCCCACCCCTAGTGTTTCAGTTCTGTAATCAGCAATTAAGGGTGAGTTTTCAGCTTATCTTTATCTGACTATATAATGATTACTGCATAGTCAAGTTATATACAAAGCACTCTGGGAATACAGGGGAAAGACTGATTGTGATTCTACAATAGAAAACAGATTCATATAAGACCATAACATCTGAAACAGATTTTAAAGACTTTATCCAGATAAAATAGAAAAATAAAAGCAGTCTAGGTAAAAAATACAGTAATCACAGGAACAGAGTCTAGAAAGGGCATGGCATATGCAGGGAACTATGAGAAGTACTGAGACTGAAACATTGACTGAGATAGCAGAAAATGGATTAAATAGTTGGGGGGGGGGGTAGAAACAGATTACTAAAAACCCTGACTACCAAACCAGATTTGCATTTTCCTACAGGCAAAAGAAACTTCAAAAAATGTTGTGCATAGTAAGAAAGTCTTTGTTTTATTTTATTTTAAATCATGTTTATATGAATATATATGCAGACTGAGTTTGTATAAAGATAAATCTGGAAGGATAAAGGTGAGTAAATAAGAAAGAGGTGGGAAAGTAGAGAAAATATGACTCTTATTCTACTATGTGTGTCTATATAACCAACATTTAATTAGAAAGTGTTTCAGGTATGCCTCAGATGATCACACAAGAAATAATTAACCTAACAAGTGTGTAATGCATGTTAAAAAATATTTCACAGCTGTAGATTGCTCAAAATATTACAGAGGCACTCCTCCTTTATGCATGACCACATGTCAAAATCCAGGAAACTGTAGGCTGTACACTATCTATGCACCTGAGATTTGTCTATTTATTGGCTCAGAGGATCATGGTGCCAGATAAGGACTCTGTCCCTAAAATATGTCCATGTACATATTGACTGCATTTTTCATAAAATATGTTGTTAGACCACCTAAATAACTAAGAGTTGAGATGGAATTAAATTTCCAAAACAAGTAGCATGAACTATTTTGTGTCTCCTTGTTTATTTAATTAATACTTGTATGCTTAATGGAATTTTATCTATTGTTAACACTTCTCTTCAATACAACTGATAACACTCACTCATCAAACCCTAAGAGTTTGTCTGAACTCAGTAGCCTAGGTCAATTTACAACAACAAAAATTTCCTGATTATGGAAAGAAGAACTGATACAATAATAATGGAAACAATTTCTATGTGGCTACATCCACTAGAATACATACCTTGAAAAGATTTATCTTCTTTATTTTTAGATTTCTATTATAAGTAAGAGAAAGTCTTCACACATGGAGTAAAAACTTGATACAATCTTATCCATGAGTTATAAAATATAGAGTCAAGTTTTATTTAAATCACAATTTGGAGTGATAAATCTGAAAAAAGTCTAAGTTTCTGTTCAAGGTAAACTTCTATGATTATACTGAATTTCTACTTCAATATAGAATTAACGAATACAAGTATTTTCCATACCTTGATTATGTGTGCTTGCTCAACATTGTTTTGCCTGTGCATAGCAAAATGTTTACATAAGCGTAAACAGCTATTTGACATATGAAAACATTAAAAATTGCTTGAGTTAGGTTGCTTTCTTATTCTTAAAAATTTATTGTTTCACAGTTTACCTTTTTAAATTTCCTTTTCTGCATGTTTTAAGTTTTTATTCCATCCTTTTCTCATTCTTATTTTGTCCTTTTTTTTTTTCTTGGTATCAATTGCTGATTCTTTCCTATCTACAAACTATTTCCTTAACAGCCCCTTTTTCCACACATGGTAGAAAAATAGAGATGTTATCTA